GTCCGTCACCTTCGAGATGTACTGGGCGGACACCTCCGACGGACACAGAGTGAAAGTGAGAGTGAGAGACGGAGACACGTGCTTTCCAGCTCCCAGGTTCGACTGTTCAGACCAACCTTCGGGAACCCTGACTCATGCCTTGGGTATGAGTTGTACGACAGCTATGATGGCTCTGATTCAACAGTCCATGGACAATCCTGTCCTTCCTTGCAAGGCCCTGACGGAAAATGTGCGTGACGACCTGTGACATCTGCCCCCAGGATGGCTACGGTAGCTGGGGCCTTTCAAGTCTACTCTGCAAGGTAAGTGGGAAATGGGATTAGGGCTGAAATTAGTGTTACAGGAGCAGTGGTGGTAGCAGTGGTGGTAGTGTTGATAAAAATCATGACATTGCGAATTAGAGGAATCAAGGGATTCTGCTTTCATGGCTGGAGACAGCAGGACGCTCCGGTGGATGCATGCATGCCTTCAGACGCAGTCAGGACCAGCAAGGATACGAAATCAAGGCCGCATGATACTACAATGCAGACGCAGAGACGAACCCACTGCATGTGTAATGCATGAAGCTTTCCAGGGTCAATCAAGCTTGTTCGAAAGAAGACGAATATGTGAATATATATATATATATATATATATATATATATACATATATATGCATATGATCATCACGCTCTCAAACACTGAGCTGTAGTCCACCGTGTGCCGTGTGCCCGGCAAGCAAAAGTATGGCCGAATTCACGACATTGTAAACATACATTATAAGTCATTCTCTCCTTTGCAACAGTCGGCCGAGGATCTTCCCGGAACTGGGGCCTTGTGAAGACGATGCGCGCGGTAGAGGCCGTCGACCATGGCTACCTCTCTGCAGAAGAGGCAGCAATAACTCAGACTCTCAGACTCTCAACACTCCCCGCTAATCCCGTGAAGGCCCGGGCCTTGAGGTCCTCTTCCAAGTCCCTGTACCTAGGCTCAGAACACAAACAAAAACGGCGAAGGGAACGAGGCGCACCAGCCCGGCTCTTTAGGCCGGTGCCCCTCTTTGCCGATGGTCCACTGCGCGAACCAGGTGGCTGAGCCTGGCCAAAGGCCCATGAATCCCTAAAGGAGGCAAGGGCCCGTCACCCTCATATGACCTGGTCGCGCGCTCGGCGCGATGATCATTGCTGATGATGATGACGATGATTAGGTGGAGGCGACGACGAGTATATCTGCAGCTCAAGATCCTACTGTACTGGGTAAGCTGCGGCCGCTAAAGCGGTCGCTCTCATCTAGTTGCGACGATGGTTGCTGTTGTCGTCGTCCTGGTCGTCGGCATGATCGTCGTAGGCAGTGGTAGCAGCGATGCTCCTAAAGAACTTGAACGACAAAGCCCTCAGCCCTAATCCCTAGCACCCGAATATACCCTACCATGCCAATCCCTAAACTCTTCAAGCCCCACAAGGTGAAAACCTCAATGCACCTGAACTGTAAATCCTCAAGGTGCTGCAGAGGTCTTGTCAGTGCGTGGGGCCCGCCTAGGGTCTCCCGAAGCACGGCCGTGGAGTGTGCCACATACGCTGCCTTCAGCTTCTCCCAAAGCCTCAGGGTAGCTTGTCGTTCAAGCTGCTTTGCTTTGCTGGCTCTGGGCGTTGTCTCCGACACGGAATCTGCACAACCCAGACTTCAGGACAGCACTCGGGGAGCGTCTGCAGATAGCCTCGGGATCGAAAGCGTGGCCCGGGTTTGACTTTCCCCATGCGGCCAAGCTGCCGATGATCTTGTTGAAGGAGAGGAAGTTCTCCTGCACCCGTGGACAGAGGGATGCAGTATTCGGTAGCACCTTAGCACTCCTGACTCGCAAGGAACAACAAATCCGAACAGCTCTGCTTCAACATCTTGGCATAGAGCACGCAGACCTCCTGGAGCGAGGCGCTGTGTGTCTCCAAGCGACCCCTCGAGTCTTCGAGCGATCCGAGGATGGCGCAGGCTGTCGCTTCAGGAAGAGACCCTGAGATCAGCACACGCCTGCTGCGGCTCTACGACTCTGATGCCAGGGCCTGGATGTTGCAGATGTGCCAGCCACAGATCCTGCGAGCTCCAAGCGATCCAATCTCACATTCCCAAACCCCTCGCCTCTCTTCTCTCTCTTCTCTGTCCGGATGGGTGTTGGGAAGCAAGGCTTGAAGACCATGAGGATGGCCAGCCTGGACAATCTCAGAGTCGCAGAGCGCTCTGCGACTTCACCTGTAGCCTCTGAGGGAGGAACCAGTTCGTCACAATGCCCAGCAGGAAGCCTCCAAAAGAGCAACAGCGTCTCAGGCTCTGGATTGGCCCAGGGCCCTTCCGTGCTGTGGACCGACGGTAAAAGTAAGGAGCTATGCAAAGAAGTCCTGGTCTGGAGAACAGCAAACCTCTCAACATCACTGAAGTTACGACCTGTGGCCGGGAGGAAGATTGCGCGGCCCTCGTCAGAAAGATTGTTGAAGGCTATGAGCTGCAGGAGGCCACCTGGAGAGTCATTCATGTGCCATCTACATCTCGACGATGCAGGCGCTGCATCAACTTGACGCTGCTGACGATCTGGGCTGGCCGCGAAACGCCTGATAGGCATGATAGTCAAAACAGAATATGACCTTGATGATAGGCGCATTAGCAAGCTCATGACGACGATCACGATCATGTGGCATAAAGGCTGCAGTCCCTTCTTGACGAGTTGCAGAGGAAACCCATCATCGCGCCGCAGTGCTCGATGAAGCGGAACTCCTGGAGGCGGCACCCATGCCTAGCTTTCTTCAACCTAGTGCACGTGGGACATGGGGGCCTCCAGATCGATGGTGAAGAGACTCTGCACTTCTGCGCAGTGCAAATCACTCAGGGGGACCGGGGCCAAACCAAGCGTGGGTGAGAGAGATTTGCCGGACTAGAGCGATGATACTTGGAGTCATTGAGCCGCGACCCCTGAGCACAAGACCAGAACAAGCTACCGGCCCTGACCCTCGTCGCGCCTCTGCCAGGCGTTTGTTTGCCGGGCGAGCGCCGGTCTTCGGCCCTGCCGCAGCCACACTGCAGGATGCATGAATCGTATATGGCACCCGCCAGCACAAGCAACAGACTACTGCTCTCTGAAGAAAAAGGCAGCAGCCAAATTTAGCCACCATCTCCTCCTCCGTCTGCCTCTCCCTCCCACCTCCCTCATCCCTCCCCGTGCTCCTCAAATCCCCTCACCCGATTGCAGAGCTGATGATGGCTAGCACCAACAATGCGCATTCACAAATGGAAGAGAGCATGCCTGTATGAATCAGGATCAACGTCACCGGCCTCGCCACACCAGGTCGCCAGGCATGGTTTGGAACCTCACGCAGGGGAGGATCAGTGAATCAGGCTTCAGGCTTGAAGCCTTGCGGAGCCCAAGGCTGCATTGTTCTCAGGGTCAAGCATAAACTCCGAGCCGAGCAGTGCTTCATTTTTCAGGGGGTACGAGTAGTGCTTGGGCTTGGGCTTGGACTCTTGGACACAAGCGCTCCCTCGAATGGCTGAACTCCCAAGTCCCCGGCGTTTTGCTTCAGGCAGCCTCAAAAAGTCACGTCCGTGCAGCAAACTTGCCGGTAACTTCGAGAGCTAAGCGGTTGAAGGACGGCTGCGCCGAGCCTTGAAACATGGCGCCATCTGTTGCACCTCTGTTGCAGAAGAGTTCTCGGCAAAATGCAAATACTCACCCACCGGTCCCCGAAATGGAGAGACCCCATAAGGGCCAGGCCGGAGCGCTCAGCCCAATCACGCTGATGATGGGCCCTGACGCGGTCGTCATGCTGTCATCCCAGATAGACGCCCGTGCATCCGAGAAGGATTATTGACAGAAGGGTGTAGGAATCCAAGATCCGGGCGAACACCAAGACGAAGAAGCCATGCCCAGGGTTCTGCGACAAAAGGCTACTTTGGCGGGGAGGAGTTCGATCTAGGGGGATACAAGTACGGCATATTTTGCCCCCTCGACATGCCGTCTGTCCGTCCGCAGGTCGCTGTCTCGATCTCGCTCTCGTTCTTTCCGGTCTCTCTTGCTGCAAACAAGCAATAGGAATTCAGGCGCCAAACATCCGGTCTCCTTCTGCAAGGAGAAAGCAGCCAGGCGAAGGCTATTTCTGGAAGACAGCCTGGCCGTTGCGGATGCTCCAAGTTCTCAGCGTCTCTCGATTCTGCACGATCCACGAAAGAGCTGAGGTCGCGGCACACGTGCACGACGTGTGCTCATGCTTTTTTTGTGTTTTTGTCTAATTTTTTTCTGTTTCTTGCTCTCATCCAGCGGCATTGGCCGCTGATCTTCCTCCGCCAAATCAGGCAGTTGGCAGGCATCAAGGAGCTGCTCGGGCCTGCCGAAAAAAAGCCGTGAATACTGCACCCTTCGAACCCCGGAAGACTCACATCTAAAGAAACAAAAGCTAGCGACGCTGTGTGAGATCGGTTCGGCCTTCGTTGGGCCCTGCGTCCCTGAGACCTGGTCGAGCTCATTCGAATGCTTTGCACGCAGCATATCAGGCGAATCACAGAACAATATGCGTAATTACAGGTCGTCCACAGTGGCCCAGCCTTTTCGTATGCTCGTTGCCGAATTCGGTGCCACCTGGTTACAGCGTGCTAGCAGTTAGTTAACAGTTGCAGAAATGCGGACAACTACACCGATCATCCCACCACTGTCCGAAAAGGCCATCCATGAACGGATTGAGCCCATGAATTTCATGTCGGATCTTCTCTTTTGAACGTACAGAAGGCAGACGAGCCCCCTCAGAGCCGCACATGTTCGACAGGAGTCGGGTCCATTGCCCCTACCAGGTTGGATTTTTAGGCAGGCGCATGTTGGCTGAGCACTGGCAGCGACCTCCTCCACAATTCAAACGTCCAGATAGGTCCTGGTCATACTATCTAGTTGCGGACAGGCGACACGGATAGGTGTGCGCATGGAGGGCGGACAGGGTCTACGAAAAGGGCCGTATCCCAAAACCGATAGGCTAGACACAGGGGTTTCTGGACGCCTATCATGGATAACTACTTGTCATGATGCTCTTCCATTCACAGACACGCACACATATACACACACATACAGATGCAAGTACACATTGTGCACAACATATGCATGTACATCTATCTATCTATCTATCTATCTATTGGGCTCAACATTACATATAAGAATAATTACATGTGCCTGGTATGTGTATGTGTACATGTACATGAACATGTACATACTTATACATATACACATGCATAAACGTATACATGCATATACACACATACACTTACACATACGCACACAAATGCACATGCATATACATATACGCATGTATGTGAATCTACAAAGATGTATGTGTCTCTTTCTCTATCTCTCTGTCGTTCTGTCTCTCCACCTCTCCATCTCTGTCTCTAACTCTCTTCTTCTACCTGCACTGGAGCAGTGGGAATCCAAGGGCCAACATCCCGGTCCTTCTCGAGCGCGAAGGCCGCTGGAAGACGTTAATGGCAATCTTTTTGTATAGTTTTTTCTAAAATATTTTTGTGACTGTCCATACCAGGCAATGCCCAGCAGCGTTGGCTGCTCACTCTTCATCCTGAATGCAACAAAGCCGCGCATTCTTCACATGCTGTTCCAGCACGCGTGCAAGCTGGAGGCCTGGCCTGTACGAAGTCGGGGCCTGAAAATCAGCTCAGACCATGTCGCTTGTAAAGAGTTCACGAAATCCCACGGCCTCTCACTCGACCCCCCAGTAGCCGCGTTCCATGCCTCGGCACTTGGATTCCTATCGCTAAGGACCTCCACGGACTCAGCACACACTCATCCATGAAAGCTGGGAGCTTTTTCCAAGGATGCACGCGGGTAGATTTGGAGTTTCAAGTTTAAACTTCTTCCAAGACAATTCCGCGATGTGCTTGGAGCTGTGGCGTTTGTAACGGAAAACAAGGTTTCACGAGCCGGCGAAATGTTTTAGTTACGAGTAGTTTGCACTACTGTCACTGTTCGTGAGCCAGTGAGATTCTCATAGATTTCCAGTCAGGAAACGAAGATTTCATGAGCCGATGTTTGTAAGTCATGACCTTCGTTGATCTTCAGAGCTCAAGACAGGACTTTCTTTGCTCCTCAGTGCTGGCTTTATACCGGCATCCAGGTTTACGTAAGCCGGCTGATTTCCGTGCCGTCCTACTTCCACTAGTCACAGTTGACCTAGCTACTACAGGAACCGACGCATTCACAAACCGGCTGCTGGACTGTCCTAGAGCTTCCGTGCTAATACAGGAAACGCAAGATTCATGAGCCGGCGGAGGGACTGTTCTGCAATTATGGGCTTGTGCGCGTACTGGAATCGCTTTTTGTTTTTTTTTATTGAGGGGAACGCAGAAGGGGGCAACGGTCTGTCAGGCAAAGGTTGACCCTTCGACGAAGTTCGTTTTTTCAAAAACCCTTCGGCGAACTTCTGCGAACGTTTTGGGGGTTCGTGAGGGGTTCGTGGGTTGTTCGGTTACAAGATAAAGTTCTGATATGTTGTTAAAATTCCCAAGTATATTAAAAGCTTCAATAAGAATTTACGACACTACACCCCGGATAGTCTGTGAAGTTTATATGTCAGCGAGATGAAATGATGATGATTTGCCACGCCTTTTTCTCTGCATCTTGCAGGGATTTCCTGCGAATGTCTTTCCAAAAATACGGAGTTTCTTGCGTTACTCTGGCTCATTAGCAAAAATTCTTGCCAGGGCCCGACAGTCGTTCAGTGCAGGTCCAGGAAGTGCAGAATCCTGGCGGGCGGGAGTGTAAAATCACAAATGAGGTGCGTCAAAAGGCTTGTTGCTCTGGCAACCCGTTTTCTCTCTTGCGACTTCTGCGGCCAGTGACTAAGGCAGCGTTTTATCGCAAACGGCCCGGCAAGGCGGTTGATCGCCAAAACTTGCCAGGTTCAGCGGCCGAGGACTCGATTAAAATTTCTTGCCTTCAGAAACAGCGGCAGCGGAATTCGGCAGAGTCAGGCCGGGGCGCTCTTGAAATACTTCCCTGCTCTCTGACCTACAGTCTCGGAAGACTCAGAAGCAGGGGTAACCCGAGAACACAAAAGCATGTGACACCAACTTTCAGCGATGCATTTTTTATGTTAAAAATAATAATGCTTCTTCTGTGTTCTTGCCCCTGAAACAATCTCAGTCAAGCTTACTTTGGCGATCCTCGCCCTCCTGATGCTGGCGACTTGATCGAGCTGACGGGCGATCCGGCGAGGGTCTTCGGACTCTTGCTAGGCGACGACTTGGAATTGATCTTGCGCTTCGGCGTCCGCGGGGGAGTGTTCTTGCCGTTCCCAGCTGCCGGTTGAAGCGCAGTCTCCGATTTCGCCTGCCACGATTTCGTCTTCTTGCCATCACCAGAACCGGCTTCGGGGGAGGAACCCGTCGGGCACTCCTTCAGAAAGAACGGGCTCTCGGGCAAGGTCTTGCCCTCGTTGATGTCGGAATTCAGGATCTTGCACACCGAGATGTCCACCAACCCAGCACCTGACGGAATTGCTATGCAACGAACAACTGAGTTGGAAGAAGTGGTTTCAACATGTTCTGAATAGACGAGAGAACTAGAGAAGCGCGTGCTTAGATAACTTGATCTGAAAGATTCGCACATTGCAGCTGAGAAACTCAAGGATGTGTTGAAGTTTC